AGGCGGGGAGGGACATGACTTATGTTTTAAGCACACAGACTCCTTTGTGGGGAAATGATTGTAAGACACCAACCAGGTTGGAAGTAAACAAAACACTTAGTTACTGTGTTAGACTACGGGCATGGTGAAAAGAGGGAGTCTCTTTGTTTTTCAATGATCGATGTGGAATATGAAAGAAAAAGAAGGAATTAGGACACTATCAAGGATGTTGACCCGAGTAACTGATTTATCCAAAGAAAGGACATGGGCGGGGAGGAGGCTAGAGGTTAAAGGACGTTTTTAGTAACATGCAGCAAAGTTTCACTTCCTATCTCTTGCGCACAGAATTCACCAGGATCACTTCCATTTCTACAGCCTTCCTTTCCCAGAAAATTCTTTGTGTGATATAATTTTGAGAAGCTATTTGTGCACTGATGGGCTGTGTCCTGTGTCCCGCTCTGTAGCACAGATGTTTATATTAGCCAACTGTGCTTAGGTTAACTTTCGTTGTTATTGATGCTTTTGAGGCAGGTGTGCTTGCAGCCTAGGCTGGCCTCAGACTTGCTATGTAACTAAGGATGACTGGAGCCCCGATCCTCCTCCCCTCATCTCCCATATGCTGAGATTACAAATTGCACCATCATACTTATCAACATTATTATCTCTACATACTGGTGGGGAAAACATTTCCCTTAATATTTTTAGCCCCCAATACAATCCCTGGTGCCTGTTAAACATGAAGAAAATTACACCACATTTAGAATTTCTGTTTGTCAAGGTCTGTGGTACAAGCCTACAATCCCAGCACTTGGGAGGTAAAGACAGAAGTTCAGGGCCATCCTCAGGCACATAGTGTCTTCAAGACTACCCTGGGCTTTTATGAGACTTTCAAAAATCCAAAAAGAAAAAAGACGAGAGAGAGGCAATTCTTTAGAAATTGCTCTCTCACTTTGAAAAGCATTGGTCAAACTGGGTGGTGGTGGCATATGCCTTTAATCACAGCAGGGAAACAGAGGAAGTAAGATCTCTGAGTTTGAGGCCAACCTGGTTCACAGAGCAAGTTCCAGGACAGACAGGGCTACCCACAGAAAAAACCCTGTCTTGAAAAACCAAAAGAAAAAAAAAAAAAAAACAAGAAAAAAAAGGCTATTGGCCAATATATTCTAAGACAGGTCATATTCATATCTAGGCAGTGAGTAATTGTACTTGCAGTTAGAGGTGAAAATCATGCACATTTGCTTGTTAGCAGACATAACAAGGATATTCAATAGAGTTGAACTCACAATAGCTCAAACTGATATACTTCTCATATGCCAACTATGGTATGCCAGGTCAGAAGAATGGCTCCTTTTGTGGGAGGGAAGGAGAAATGTGGAGGGTTCGGAGATGGAAGTAGTATATTTACAGTTTATGCATTTTTCTGTGTCTGACACTTTAATAAAAAAAAAACATGAAAAAAATTGAGGAAAAATTTTTTTTGGTTTTTCAAGACATGGTTTCTCTGTATTGTTTGGGAGGCTGTCCTAGAAGCTCGGTAGACCAGGCTGGCCTCGAACTCACAGAGATCCGCCTGCCTCTGCCTCCCGAGTGCTGAGATTAAAGGCGTGCGCCACCAACGCCTGGCCCTGAAAATTGTTTTTTATTTTATTTCAAGAATATCTTCTTGTTTAAATCTCTCTTAGAACTGCATTTTCTAAAACATTGTTGGCTAATTCAATATACAGCTAGCTCTATCTTCTATATGACAGATGCCACAAGAAGCCTTGAAAATACACTGGTAAGCAAGAGATTTAGTTGTCTTCCTTCTCTCACAGTTTTTTTATTTGAAAGTGCCTACATGTACATCTTGTGTATGAACATATATGTGGGTGCATATGAATCCACCTGTTGCCTGTACATGCAGTGATCCCAAGCTCATTTCGGGAGTGTTACTGGCCTTCTCTCCAGTTCACTGAGACAGAGTCTCTCTATTGAACCCAGAGCTCACTGAATTGAGGGCTCTAGCTAGCCAGTTTACTCCAGGGAGTCCCAATCTCCACCTTCAAAATGCTGGAATTATAGGTCGGCCACCCTACTCATCTGAACTTGGCGCTTACATTGTATGTCACACCCTTCACTGGGTGAGTTATATCCTCAACTCTCTTTCAGTATTGACGTAGTTCCTTTGCTCTGGGGGAAGAATTACTCTCTCACTATTTCTGTACAAACCTGGATCATAATTCATTGAAAGAATTCCCCTTAAAAAAAAAACCTCTCTTCCTGATCCAGGGTTTCCTGTATCCAGTTAGAACTTTACATGTATGGGCTTTCCCCTTAACCTTTGGAGGTTAGGGTGTCAAACTGACCAGTTTGTGAGATATTTAAATTTGGTCATCTGTAACTGCGGCGAGTGGAGCAGAGCATGCCGGTTGAGATCGCATCTCCTCTGAGCTTGTTTGCTAATGAGTGATTCCCGAAACTGCCAGGCTCTGCATTTTCATCCTTTAAGACTTACGTGAGACATTATCGGTTCCCCATATTTCTTTCTGAAGGACACAAAAGGGACATCATTATCCACTCCCCTATCTTTAAAAGTGAGAAGCATGTGTCCAGTTAAAATCAGGACTGCTTCTTCATTGTTCTGGATGAATAATTAACCTTTCTAAGTACTGACATAAGGAAGCTCCAGAACCCTCCTCTCCTTCTTCCAAGGGTCAGGTAAAACAAAGAGTAGAACCGTGCTTTTTAGCATTTTCTTTTGAAACACATATTTAATATGTGAAGGATATTTAATAAGCAAATATGAGCGCCAAAATCTCAAATGTTGATCCAGTATTATCTTGTTTATTCTTCGGTGATAAGGATTTTATTATTAATGTGCGCGTCTTGGAAGTGATAATGTTCTCTAATGCAATCATTTGGAACAATATGGCCACCAATCTACTTATTAGTCACACGGGAACACTATAAATCAATTTATATGATCTTTGCAATTGGAATTTGCCGGATGCCAGCTGTGTTAATTTCCGTTAATTATCACCCTTTTAAATCTCATTCTTTCTGTAAGTAAGATATGCACTTTAGGATTTTTTTTTAATGTAGTTTAAATTGTCTGTTCATCCTCCTACAGATCTCCTACAAGGTTTTTGCCCCTCTAAGTTGATTTATAAGGTAACCTTGAGACAAGGAGATGCATTTAGTTGGCTGTTGTTTTAATAAATGGCATGTCAGCTCCTTTAGTGCTATGGTTATTTCTTCAGCTAGAGAAGTTTCTAGAGAGCGGGCCTTTGAATCCCTAATTATTTCAGAGGCTCAGCTGGACATTCCTAATTATGCCCATCTTCCAGCAAATACAAACTCGACTGCTAGAGAAGAAGTAGCTTTGATTTGTCTCCAAGTTGTGATTTTTGTCAAACATACCAGTCAATTATGAGGCTGAAATGGAATGAGATCCCTTTATGTCTCACCTGTCTGGCACTATGTTCCTCTCTTGTTTATGCTTATTTTTTCCGAAGTTAGATTTTCTTTGGAATTGGAGTTTTGTTCACCTCAGCTCCCTGGTCAGATTCATTAGATTTATTTTTCACGGTGAGTTTCTCCACTTTCAACATACACGAAGAGATTCTTCCCATAAACTCTCTGTTATTTTCTCCTTTGTGTTGCTCTTCTGCAGTCCTGATTTCTGTCTTAACTGTATCCCAATCCATTATGGTACCATCTTAGGATCTCTATTGCTGTGAAGACACACTATGACTACAGCAACTCTTATAAAGGAAAATATTTAATTGGGGCTGGCTTACAGTTCAGAGGTTTAGTCCACTATCATCAAGGTGGCAAGCACGGCAGCATGCAGGCAGACCAAGAGCTAGATAGAGGAGTAGAGGCTTCTACATTTGGATTGGCAGGCAGAAGGAAAAGAGAGTGAGTCACTGGACCCGACTTGGTCTTCTACAATTTGAAATCCAACCCCCTATGACACACTTCCTCCAATGAGACCACACCCATTCCAACAAGGTCACGCTTACTAAAAGTGCCACATCTTCTGAGCTTTGGGAGCCATTATTATTGAACCCACCGCAGGTACCCAGCTGAAAACCTCCTATTCCTATTTCCCTGTACATCCCCAAGGTCAGATGGCTGACCTGAGAATCACTTATGCTTCTACCTCCTCCTAAGACTACAATAGCTCTATTTTTCAGACTTCTCGAGTTTGTCTTCCAAGATGACCTTTCTCTGATCTTTTCCTCACTTTTACCCCCTGTTTAGCACAACACACAAATTTGCATTTGTTGCTTATTTAATGAAACTGATGGGTTTTTTTTTGAGGTTTTATTTATTTCTATTTTATGAGTAAGAGTGTTTTGTTTGTGAGTGTATCTGTGTGCCATTTCTGTGCAGTCCTCATGAAGGCCAGAGGGGGTGTCAGATCTTCTAGAACTGGAGTTACAGATGGTTGTCAGTCCCATGTGAGTGAGGTCTGGGAACTGAATCCAGGTGTCCTCTGGAAGACTAGCCAGTGCTCTTAACCAATGAGGCATCTCTCCAACCCCTGAAACCAATAGATTTTAAAGAATGTGCTCCCAGCCTGGTGGTGGTGGCAAATTCCTTTAATCCCAACACTTTCGAGACAGAGGCAGGTGGATCTCTATGAGTCTGAGGCTAGCCTGGTCCACAAAACAAGTTCCAGGATAGCCAGGGCTATTACACAGAGAAACCCTGCCTTGGAGGGGGGGCAGGAAATGCATTCTCTAGACTGCCCACTCTCCTTCATTTGTTCATTGGTTTTTATGAGACAGGGTCTCTCTGTGAAGTCCAGCTTGGCCTCCAACTCAATATGCTTCTACCTCAGCCTCCCAAACTGGTTTTATAGGCCTGTACTCAAATTAGGGAAATAATAATTTTAAATAAGACACGAGGTTGGAAGGGAGACATGTTTGTGGTTGGGGAGAGAATTGGGAGGTGGATATAAGCAAGATACATTGCATACATGTATGAATTTGTCAAAGAATAAACACTAATAATAGTAATAAAAAGAAACATAAGGGGTGGGCTCAGAGCAGGGGGCCTGGAAAATAGCTTCTCTGTTTACCATATACCCGAGAGAACTCTAGACCATTATAATAAGGAACACAGCACTGTGTCCTCTCTGTGAGCAGATAACCTACATGACAAAAAGAAAAGAAAGAAATATGGCAAAGTACAAACACCAGTAAAAAGTGCTTTTTGTCTAGGGCCAGACCAAGAGTGGGCTTGTGCCTCTACAAAGTCTCATGGTACCCAGGCTCAGGGGTACAGAGATTTTAAAAGCAAAACCTGTAGGGACCATACCATAAATAATTTACATCAATGTGAGATGAGTCAGGGTAACTTTGAATGGTTCATTCCTGCCAGAACATAGTAATTGTTTTAGATATAGCATTCCAATTATTTATTTATTTATTTATTTATTTTTGGTTTTTCGAGACAGGGTTTCTCTGTGGCTTTGGAGGCTGTCCTGGAACTCACTCTGTAGACCAGGCTGCCCTCGAACTCACAGAGATCCGCCTGCCTCTGCCTCCCAAGTGCTGGGATTAAAGGCGTGCGCCACCAACGCCCGGCGCATTCCAATTATTTTTGACAATATCCTTTCTAGTTATTTTAGTTGGCTTCAATTATTTTGGTCAATAATTATAGACCATGGTCTATCTAGGTCATGAAAATCTCAAATGTGTTGCCAAGGCAGACAAGACATGACTGTTGGGGGAGGAGAGTAAAGAACTAAGAACTGGGTAAGCAAATAAAGAGTCAGAACAAGGTATTACCTTATTCATTTCAGATTCATACAATTATCCATCCAGGTATGAATGGATAAAGGAAATGTGACATCTCCACACCCAAAGCAATACCATTGCATTTAAAAGGGAGGGAATCACCACCACCTGTGCTATGGTAGATGAACCTATAGGACATTATGCTCTGTAAAATATGCTCAGTTGCAGGGAGGCAGATGGAACGAACACATAGGACCTAAAAAGATTCAAGGTGTTAGCTGAGAGTAGAATGGGACCACAATGGATGGGAGGGAGACACTCTACTAGTAGAGACATAAGAGGAATCAGCTTAAAAGGTTTAAGGTATAAGATGGTGATGATACCTAATAAAAAACAGGTACATGTTGTATATCCAAAATTTGTTGACAATAGATTTTACATGTTCTAGCCACAGAGAAAAACGTAACTATAAGGTAGGGTATAAATTCAATCACCTCTATTTTGCTTTTTGATTGTATATTGGAATATATATGTTTCAAAACAATGCCTTGTACAGGAGAAATCTCAATTTTATGTGTCAATTAAAAATTCTTAAAGCTTTGGCTACCTTACTATTCTAGATGTGCCTGTGAGTAATACTATGCATACTTCTTGCTGTAGGGCCTGAACAATTATAATCTATAGACCTATAGATTATAAACACCAGGAAGAAAGGAAGACCTACTTGAAGTTCACTGTGACGTGTAGGAGAGCAAGACGATTATCAAGTCTCTGAGTGCTAACATTATTAAAATTATCAGTCCCTACCAGTGATGGTGACACATGCCTTTAATTCCAGTACTTGGAAGGCAGAAGCAGGTAGATCTCTGGGAGTTCGAATCCAGCCTGGTCTACAGACTTCTGGAACTGGTTCCCAATTGTGTTTAAAAAACAAAAAAAGATCAGTACCATTTGCATGTCCCACCCCCATCTAAATATGACTGTCCATTTTAGAGTGCTACCATTTGTCATGAAAATATCTCTGTAAAATGAAGAGCCAACAGGATGCCACACATCTCTTTTATGACATAGAAAGCTACTGTTCAGGCTGTCATCAGCAGTGGCTGAATGTCTGATTTCCTCCACATTTAGACAAACAGTTGTTAGTGAATGCAAAATGGTTCCAACTGTGGTTTTGATGCGCATTTCTCCAACAACACCAGTGAACATCTTTTCTTGTGTTTACCGGCTATTTGTGTATCTTCTCTGGAGGAGTATGTATTCCAGCCTTATGGCCATTTTAAGTTGCATTGTTTGTCCTCTGATTGCTGTGTGTCCCTGACTTTGAGTTTAGGGCATCTGTCATTTTTTCTATTTTTACTACAGTTTGAAATTTTTCTCAGTTATATCCAGCCAAGCATTTCTTTAAATACCCATTAATCATTTATTGTGTTGGTTCTCAGATCTGCGCTGGAAATATAAGGCCCAATAAGACTTGTCATCTCTCCTCTGGGTTATTGCAACAGCTGCTTACTTTCCTTCCTGCTAATCCATCTGCAATCTGCCTCCCAGATGACTTTTCTCAAAAGTGAATTTGATCATGTCGCTTACTTGCTTAATCCCTCTTATGCTTACTTTATTGACTAGAAGATAAAGTCCTAGCCCTTTAAGAAGGGTTATAAAGGCCCCTTGCCAGCCTCTAGAAAGTTCTCTCCTGTGTTTGTTCTCCACATGTGTTGGAGCTTCAAAGGTTTTCTAGTTAAATACTCCAATTCTTTTTTTCCCATAGAGGGGTTCCAGAAGAAAAAAACCCATAAAGAATGTATATGATGACTAGAAACATAGCTCATAGGTAGAATCTTTCCTGACACATGTCAAGTCCTGACCTTGATCCGCAGCCCCAATCTAGGCACAGTGGTACATGACTGTGATTGTGGTATTTAGGAGGCGAGACAATCAGAAGTTGAAGGTCAATGCTGTCTATACTATACAACAAGTTCAAGGTCAGCCCTAGCTATACAAGACCTTGTCTCCACAAAAGTCTGTGTGCATTTATCTATAGTCTGAGATGCCAAATTGCATGTATTGCAAGCACGTAAGAGAAATGTGAAGTCACATGATTTGTGCCTACAAACTTTCAGAAAAGTAAAAACATACTGTGCAAACCAAGGGAAAAGACAAACACACACACACACACACACACACACACACACACACACACACACACCAAAACAAAAAGGTCTCAGAGACACATGACTCACCAGTGCTTTTGGTAAAATTCAAATCCCAAACCAGGTGGCTTCATCTCAGCCCATGAGCTGAGAAAAGCAAGTTATAGTGTTTCTTTAAGTGTTCCCCTGGCCAGGCAGGGGTGGCCAACACCTTTAATCCCAGCACTTGGGAGGCAGAGGCAGGCGGATCTCTGTGAGTTCAAAGCCAGCCTGGTCTCAGAAAAACAAAATTGTTCCAGTCCATCTCAGTTTTACTACGAAGTGTCGACGATCTGTGTGCTGTGGCTTGGGTCAGAATGTTGAAGGGAAGCATGGCTTTTAAATGTGACGGTGGTGGCAGCAGGAATGCTGGGAGTCCTCTGATGGAAAGAACTAAACAAGTTCTCTGAAGAAACTGCTCCTTCCGCCGGGCGTTGGTGGCGCACGCCTTTAATCCCAGCACTCGGGAGGCAGAGGCAGGCGGATCTCTGTGAGTTCGAGGCCAGCCTGGTCTACAAGAGCTAGTTCCAGGACAGCCTCCAAAGCCACAGAGAAACCCTGTCTCGAAAAACCAGAAGAAGAAAAAAAAACCTGCTCCTTCCATGTGGAGATTCTCCGGTGCACTAGCCTTGAGACACAAGCCTCAGTTTTGGGAAAGGTAGTTACAATTTTCCTTAGACCTTTTACCAAATACAACAGTCTTGCCAGTCTATGAAGAGGAACTCTCCAGTTTACTGTGTGTGCCTCTAAAACTACATCGCAAATATAATTTTAAAATTACAGTCAGCCCTCTATATCCATAGGACTGCACCCAAGATTCAGCAACTTCAGGCTGGACACATTTTTCTAAAAAGAAACAAAACAAAAACACTTGAGGAGTTTCTCTAAAATGAAACAGCAACGCTGGTGGAGTGCTTCCCCAGCACACAACAACTCCTAGGTTCCATCCCCAGTGTACATGATACTGGGCACTCAGGTGGTGGAGGCAGGAGGATTAGAAGTTAAAGACCTTAGCCGGGCATTGGTGGCACACTCGGAGGCAGAGGCAGGCGGATCTCTGTGAGTTCGAGACCAGCCTGGACTACCAAGCGAGTTCCAGGACAGCCTCCAAAGCCACAGAGAAACCCTGTCTGGAAAAACCAAAAACAAACAAACAAACAAACAAACAAAAAAACCTTCTGCGGCTATTTATTGATACTGAGTTTAAGTCAGGTTGGGCTGCATGAGATCCTGCCTCAAAGCAAAACAAAAAGCCAACTAACCAACCAAACAAACCACAAAACATAACAACCCTCCTAGCAAAAATTGTTATCTTCATTTATTTTGTTTTTCTTGTCATTTCCCCATGCATAGTGTGACAGCTGCTTCCAAAGGATTGGCAGGTGGAAAGGTTGAATTCATAGACGGTGGACCCATTGACACAGTGGAATAAAAAATAATGGAAGAGCTGGGCGGTGGTGGCACACGCCTTTAGTCCCAGCCCTCGGGAGGCAGAGGCACACGAATCTCTGTGAGTTCCAGACCAGCCTGGTCTATAGAGCAAGTTCCAGGACAGCCTCTAAAGCCACAGAGAAACCCTGTCTCAAAAAAAAAAAATTAATTAAAATTAAAAACAAAATTAAAAGAAATATAAAAAAGGTTAGATTTCCACCTGATTCTAGATATTGTCTATGTACATGTATCTAGGCTATGTCTGTGTATATAGAAACCATATAAATGTAAGGCCTAAATATAGTTTATAATTGATACTTAAGCATCTGAAACATACATTTTGTCATTTATTGTTAGAAATATCACAATGGATCACTCAGACCATTTTGTCTCCCAAATCAGGCCCAGCTACCTTGTGGGTTGGTGGTGGGTGACCTTTCCAAAATGGCTCCTTCACTAATGTTTGGCACCTTCATTAACCCACGCCCAGCCTCTCTGTCCTCTCCCCTTACACACAACATCTTAACTGGACAAGGTCTCTGTGTGTAGCTTAGATTTTTATTTTGTTCAGGATGTTATTCTTAGTGTTTCAAGTGAGAGTAGCTACTCAGACTCATGTGAACTAAGGGTAGGTGGGGTGGCACGGATTTTGCAGCATCACAAATAGTAGTAATGATCCTAAACTGATGATTTTTGATTGTGTAAACATGTGGTACAAAGTGATGTAATAATTTATGAATGCAATGTGGGATCATTAAATTAAGCTTATTGACATATACAGATGCTCTACTCTTATCCGAAAAGTTATTTTTCTATTTATTAAGGTAATTTGTGTGTGTGAGATGCATCAGGGACAGTACCCAAAGCCTTGCATTCTACTATTGTGCTGTCCTTAGACCAAAACCTTACCTTTTTTTTTTTTTTTTTTTTTTTTGGTGGAGTAAATGAGCCCAGAACAAAGACTTTGCCACTCCACTGAAATGTATATCTACCTCTTTTTCGAAAAGCTGAGACAAGGGCTCACTAAGTTGCCCAGGTTAGCCTTGAACTCATGATCCTTCAGCCTCACCTTCCAGAAGAACTGAGATTACAGGCATGAGATCTTAGGTTTTGTAGGAGTAATGGCAAAGAAGTGGAAAGTTCTAAGAACCACAGACTTGGCAAACCCCCAAAGCATTTCCACACACACAAATTTCACCATGCTTAGTCTTCTGCAGTTTGTACATGTACCAATTTTCTTAGAAAATAGGGTGTAATTACAGTGTGAAGCATTTTGACATTTAATTGTGATGATTATCAAAATCCTCCCCAGTTTTATTACTTCTTTGATTTGTATGTGTATTTTATGACCATCTTTTTGAGTTGCAGGGAGCATGTACTATGCTTTTTATGACACACAACTATGATCTTAGGAGTGCTAAGAATAGTTTATTAATGCCCAGGGCATCATTGAAGCCTTCCTAATACCTTTGATTTACTAAAGTCACAAAAGTTATGTTAGCTTGTTTTATGGATATAACTTTAGCCATATGGTAAAGCGCGGCTCCGTACAGGTGTTCCTTATATCTGGTCCAATGACATCTAAGAAATTCAACTCTGGGGTCACAGAGAAAAGGAGCAAAAAACCCTAATAAAACCCACATGCTAACCATTAACGTTCATTTACCAAAGCTTGCTTAAACTCTTGTACTCTTAAAGCTAATTTCATCCAATTGCCTTTTAATTATAGTCTCTTGCTCAGAGTTGCAAATATAATGGGTTTTTAATGTAACTTGCACTGTTCTGTGTCCAACGCAGGATGTAATCATGCAGTTTATTCAGTCAGAGTCAGTGCATGGGGTAATTACAACCCAAGAGCACACGGATGTCTGCGCATACATACAACTGCAGGAGAGAGTAATACAGGACAAGCAGGCTGTGTTGGCACATAGCAAGATTCAGGTAAGCCAGGGTTACACAGTTAGACTCTGCCTCAAAAAAAAAAAAAAGCCTCCATGAAGTGTAACATGTGTTTCATGTGCTACATAAAGTCATTTATCTTTAAGAAAATTCATCTGTGTGAGTATGTGCACTACATTGGCAAGGGTGCTCACTGAGGTCAAAGGGCATTTGGTCACCAGGACAGAGCTAGGAAACCAATCAACAGCCAGGTGGTATTGACTCACACTGCCCAATGTGGGTGTTGGGCATAGATCCTGAGTCCCCTGTAAAACAGAACCAGCTTATAACCTGGGAGCCGGCTCTCCAGCCCCAATGTATTCAGGTTAAAGGATAGGCTTGGTCATCAATTAAAACTCTGTAGAATGGTAATAATCTGGAGACAAAACTCCCAAACATTCCTATTTAATTTAACCAAGGAAAGAACCATACACTGAAAGATTATAAATATTGCTGAAGCTGAAACTTACGTTAAAAGAAAAGATATCTTATGTTTATAGGTTGGAGGAATGAATGCCCAAAAAACAAAACAAAACAAGTGAACTCCAAGAAACTAAAGAGCTTATACACAGCTAGGCAACCAACCAACAGCCAGGTGGTATTGGCTCACACCTTTGATCTCCGAGGGCAGAGGCAGGCAATCTCTGTGAGTTCGAGACCAGCCTGGTACACAGAGCAAGTTCCAGGACAGGCCCCAAAGTTACATAGAGAAATCCTGTCTCAAAAACCAAAAAAGGAAAAAAAAAAAAAAAAAAAAAAAAAAAGAAACCAATCAATAAAATTATAATGCCTTCTACAAACTAGTAGAAAATACTTGGAAGTCATTGATAAATGTTAAAAATATACAAAGAACTCAGGAACTCAGTTTATTAGCAAATAAACCAGTAATCCACCATAAAAAGGGACAAAAGAAATGCAAATTAAAAGCGCAGGGAAGCCAGTTTACTTCCATAATCAGGACATTCTGGGCCTAAGGAAAGAGGATTGCTGAGAATTCCAAGCCAAGTTGCACTATACAGTGATTTCTGGCAAAGCCTCAAATAAATTAAAAATTATAATAAAATCTAAACAGTCAGACTTGGTGACACACACCTGTAATCCCTGAACCTGTGAGACGGAGGCAGGTGTGTCGGTTCAAACTTCTTGACTACTTAATAAGTGCGAGGCCACTTAGGACTACATGAGACCCTGTCTCAAATGATAAAGCCACAGTGAGCTTATTCCACATCAGCAAGGATGGCTTTAAAAAAATTTTAGGCTGGCTGAAGATGGCACACAGTTTTGATCCCAGCACTTGGGAGGCAGAGGCAGGCAGATCTCAGTGAGTTCGAGGCCGGGCGCCCTTGGAAGTCAGAAGATTGGAAACTTGGAACTGGAGTTGTGGATGTTTGTGAGCCACCATGTGGGTTCTGGGAAAAAAATCTAGACCCTCGACAAGAACAAGTGCTTTATTATTGTTGATCCAGGACAGGTGAGAGGAAGACATGTATAGAAAAGGGAACCTGGAACCCTTGAACTAGGGTGATGGTAATGCATGCCTTTAATCCCGACACTCCTGATGCAGAAGTCAGATCTCAGAGTTTCAGGTCAGCTTGGTCTACAGAGTGAGTTCCAGGGCAGCTAGGGCTACACACAGAGAAACCCTGCCTTGAAAAACCAAAGCCAAAAAGAAAAGGGAACACTTTGTAACTGTTGGGAATGTGGCAGAAGCACTGTGGAAAATAGCTTGGAAGGTGCTCAAAAAAACCTAAGCAGGACCAATATGTAACCCAGCCATCTCAGTCTTGTGATATCTAGATCCCCTTGCTTGTTAACGTTGCTCATAAAAGACAAGGTATGGAAGCAACACATCCTAAAATATTACCTGCATTTACAAAAGGATACAGCTCTTTGTAATGCGGAAGTCCCACAGGCCAGTATATTAAAAGAATAAAGCCAAATACCACCAGCAAAAGACATAATATGGTATGTTTCATCACCAGAAGTAAGGAGGCAGAGAAGGAACGGAGTTGGCAAGATGAACTTTCAGTTCTGCAGGAAAGTCTAGCGACCTAATGCTCCCATGCATGTATGCATGTCTGTCACCCAGAAGTAGAACTGATTAAATGCTGGTATTCTGGGCTCACTCCTTTTAGCTCTGCTTGGGTGTTTGTTCTTATATATATAAGTGAGAAGTACAGGAGCATTCGCATCTAAAACATCAATAAAGGCCTGGAGAGATTACTCAGTGATTCACAGCACTGGCTGCTGTTCTAAAGGACCTGGGTTCAAGAATCAGCACCCATATAACCTTTTATGACTCCAGTTCCAGGGGATCCAATGCTCCATGTCTACCCTCTGCAGAAACTGCACTCACATGACACTGCACAGACATACATGAAGGTGAAACACCACACATTAAAAACAAGATAAAACACTAAAAAGCTAGGTAAGGTCCTGGTCCTACATCGGGACTTTCTAAGCCTGCTATAACTTGGCAGACTTTTTCTCACAATAGGAACAGAGCAGAGTAGACCAGCCTCGACAAGGAGAGCCAATCTTGATCCTTCCCGAGTGCTGAGTCTGGGGTTTTAAGAGCGAGCACCCTAATCGCTGCATCTTTTGTTTGGTCTTTAATCTTCACTCTGAAACTAAGAATCCGTATAGGATTGAGTCAGACACAGGGCTGCAAAAGCAAACACAGAGGACATGGGATCCATCACCTTGATTAAACTCTTAAGTTCTCTATGCAGGTGTTTGATTTAGAAGAAGGTTGAAATTCATGAATGGCTTTTGTACCCTAGTTTACTGGTATTAAGCCAGAGTTTCAGGTCCCACATTCCTATACAAGTGATAGCGGAGTTGCCCTACCAAATATAATATAAACAGTTAACATTCTGTAGTAGAACTTCACACTAAACCCTGAGTTCTAAAGACATTTTCCTTTTAATTTTGGCATTTTTAAAAACCAGGATTAATCTTCATTCATGCATTCTTTGTTTCTAAAAAGATATGCTGGAATTTCCAGGGGTATGGTAAATCTTCAATACATAGTGACATTTTTACCAAATTATCTCCATTGACTGCTGGGTGGGGGCGCATTCAAAGTTTGATGCCTGCTTATTTTCTGGTCTTTAATAGTTCACCTTGAAATAATACAAATAATCTTTATTATAATACTTAGATTTTCATTCCGGCTACTCTTTCCTCCTTGTCCATATTTAGCCTCTTTGAATTCCTTTCCCAGCATGCAAACCATTTATCTCATCTATTAAAACCAAAATTCCTCTTATCTACGGGTCCTATCTAGATGTGAGCATTTTCCCACTTCCCTTTGTAGATCTCTTTAACAATATTTGCATCTCTTTCTACTGAGGAGATCTTGAATGATTTAGGCAATTGTTTTTATTGCGTGGACATTTACGTTATGAATTTGCTACATTATATACAACTCACTTAATGTCCTCGGGGAAAAACACGAATGCAAGCATTTTCGAAAGAACTCTAGAAATAAAATTTACTGGGTCAAGAGTACTACACATTTATGATTTGTATCCTCAAAAATCATACTGCAGAACCAGAATGGGATCTTATTCTGAAGGTCTTTTTTATAGATAATTGAGATGACAGGTCTTCAGGATAGAATGTTACTTGATGACTGGTATCTCGAGAAAGGGAATCTGAACAGAAAACAGCAAGTGACGTAAGAAGACACGGCTGACACAGGAGGTAAACACACAGCAGGTGTGACCATTCGATTTTGGGTGGGCAGCCTCCAGAACTAGGAGATAATGCATTTCTGGTATTTGAAGCACTCTGTGTTGGTCACTCTGGTGGTAGCCCTCAGAAATTTACTAGAACACTCCAGCGGCACATCTCTGAATAGACAATTTCTACCCTAACAGACTGGTGTATCAACACAGAATGTTAGTAACTCTGTTTTTGGAAAACAGAGTGTAGTCCTGGCCAAATTGCTACTTGCTTTGTGAACTAGGCTGGCCTCAAACACAGAGATCTGCCTGCCTATACTTCCTGAATGCTGGGATCAAAGGTGTACCACCACACTACACCCTTTTGCTATATTAAAAAAAAAAATCCCTTTTTCTTCCTCTCCTCTTCAGACATGGTGCCTCTATACAGTTTTGGCTGGCCTCCCAAGCTTGAGGTTGACCAGGCTGGCCTCAAACTCACAGATCTGCTGCCTCTGCCTCCTGAGGGCCAGCATTAAAGGCACGATGACCAGCTGTTATCTTTTTAATGTGGTTTTGATTTTTCAGAAATTTAGCAGATTTCTAGAACTCTTATGTCCTTTTATTTTGAAACATCTAAAATTTTCAGATGGGCCAACTTTATTATATAACCACTCACATATAATTATGATTAATAGTTTGACATAAAAACATGTAAGTAACTCATTCGTTTGTTGACTACAGCCAAAATTTTCCACTCTTTAGGATTATCTCATCTACATGAAGCACAGTTTTAAAGGTAAGAGCCAGGCAGTTAGAAACCGCATAATTAAAAATCAGTGATTTCTGTATGAAGTATGCAAAAAACCCCTCATTACATTCAATAATGCATCATATACATCAAGGATTATGCTTTTGAAGCGACTTCATCATTGACTTTACAATTGGAACTACACCACGAAATATAAAAATGTTCTTAAGATGGTATAATGAAGCATAAAAAAATAAGAGTATGCTTTCTAAGTTGCAAAAGTGTCTTAGCCATGATGGCATCACACCCTTACAAACAATAATCCACAAAGCACATATCCCGATTGACTCATCCATTTAAGACTACCCGACCTGCGGACAGTCTCTGTCTTGGTTTTCTTCAGCATCTCTTCCCTGCCTTTTTGTGGATTAGGATGTGAGTTTTCATGTTATTTGACTGAATAAAGCTCTTCTGGCAGCCGTCAAAGGGGCACACAAAGCGCTTCTCACCAGTGTGGATGCGGATATGTGTGCGCAAGTTGAAGTCCAGCGAGAAGCACTTCCCACACCCTTCGAAAGTGCACCGGAATGGCTTCTCTCCGCTATGGACCAGAAGATGTCTCTTGAGTTTCGAGCTCTCTACAAAAGCTTTCCCACACTCGGCACACACGTGCGGACGGGGACCGTGGACAAGCATATGTTTCCTCAGGGCGGTCTTGTTCCTCAGCTTCTTCCTGCACCCTGTCTGAGGACACTCCAGCATCGATAGTGGAGCACAGTGTTTACCACCCTTCGGCTTCTCTGCAGGAGGTTCCGCAAGCTGCTCATGATCTGATAAATCAGTTTCCAATGATGATTTTTCAACGGGAAGTTTCTCGCTAGTCACGTCCTTGGAAGACTCAAGGGCTGAGTTCGCTCCAACAATCTCTTGAGGCTGTTCTTGCTTGGCGTCTCTTTTGTCCTGCTTTGCACCCTTAGTCACATATTCCAAAGAACTTTCAAGAAGGGAACTTGCATCAAGAACCTGGAGAGAAAGGCCCTGTTCGGCTTTCTCTAGGTTTTCGAAACATTTAAAAAGTAAATCCTCTTCCAAAATAGGTTCAGAAAACTCACCTCTGATGATGTACTCTATGTAACCATCGGGAAAGTCATCTTCCTCGGTCTCTGGGCTTGTCTCACTGTATACATCTTCATTGTGAATGGTGTCTTGAGTCACCTCCTCTTGTTTGGGGCTCGCTCTACTACTGAGAGCTCTTCTGCCCAGGCCTTTCTGGCCACTTGTCTTTGCCATTTTCTTCATTTGCTTATGTTGTTTTGGCTAATTCCGTCGTGAAAGAGGAATGTTAATCTCTTCCAGGCAGCGCCGATCCACAAGAGTCACCCCCAGGACACACCTGCCTTAGATAATAACCTGAAATTAAAATGTATTCCAATACTACAGTCACTGTGAGAAAATGACTTCGGTAAATAAATGCTACAGAGAGTGGCATGGCTCAGCAGGAAGTTGCCAGTCCCTCACCAGAATTTGATCATAGAAAGCAAGCATTAGAAAGAAACCAAATCCCACAGATTGTCCTCTGATCTTCACAGTGAGCTTGTTCTCTAGCTCTCTTACAAAATGTTTTACCACATGATCATTTCATTAGAGCTGAATAAGAGTTTCACAAACTCCTTCATGACAAAAGTCGTGGAGAGATTACGGATACAAGGGACATACCCAAACATAATAAAGGCAATTTACAGGAGGCCGATAGCCAACATCAAATTAACTGAAGAGAAATTCAAAGCAATTCATTAAAATCAGAAATGTTCACTCTCTAGAGTCCTATTCAATATAGTACTTGAAGTTCTCCCTAGAGCAATAAGCCAACAACAAAAGATCAAGGGGACACAAATTGGAAAGGGAGAAGTGAGAGCATCATTATTTATACATGGTATGATAGTATACATAAACAACCCCAAAAATTCTACCAGGGAATTCCTACAGCTGATAAACAACTTCAGCAAAGTAGCTGGATACAACATTAACTAAAAAAAAAAAAGCGGTAGCTGTCCCACATGTGAAAGACTGAAAGAAATCAGGGAAAATAACACCCTTCACAATAGCCACAAACAATATAAAATATCTTGGAATAACCTTAAGCTAGCAAGTGAAACAATTTTATGATAAAAACCTCAAGTCTTTGAAGTAACGGAAAATACAAAAGATGCTAAGATCTCCCATGCTCAAGGATTGGAAGAATTAACATAAGAAAAATGGTCATCCTACCAAAGGCAATCTACAGATTCAACACAATTCCCATGAAAATCCCATCAAAATGTGGAGTAAGGAAGGGGACACTCCTCCGTTGCTGGAGAACAGTACAAATTTGTACAAGCACTAGGGAACTCACTATGGTGCTTCTTCAGAAAACTGGGAATCTATCTACTTCAAGACTCAACTATACCCACAGAATGCTCAGTCACACCACACTCTTGCTCAGCTATGTTCATAATAGCTTTATTCATAACAGTCAGAAACTGGAAACAACCTAGATAGACCTCAACCTAAGAATGGACAAAGAAAACATGGTACATTTTTACAATAGTCTTACTCAGTTATCAAAAATACATATGATATTACCCTTAATCCCAGCATTCAAGAGGCAGAAGCATTGCCTGTATATAATCCCAGCACTTGGGTGGCAGAGGGGGTCTTTGTGAGTTCAAGGTCAAGGCTAGGCTGGTATACAAAACCCATTCCATGACAGCCAGAGCTGTAACAGAAACTGTCTTAAAAAACCAAAACCAAGTCAGGTGTTGGTGGCTCACAACTTTAATCCCAGCACTCAGGAGGCAGAGGCAGGTGGATTTCTGTGAGTTCAAGGCTAGCATGATCTACAGGAGTTCCAGGACAGGCTCCAAAACAATGCAGAGAAACCCTGTCTTGAAAACCAAAACAAAAAACAACAACAACAAAAAAAACATACACACACACACAAAAAAAACCCAAACCAACAACAAAAATAAAGACACCATGGAACTAGGTCTGGGTCTAAGGTAACCCAGACCCAGACAAACATGTTATGTACACACATATTAATAGATATTAACTGTAAAGTACATGATAATCATGCTACAACCCACAGACCCAGAGAAGGTAGCAAGAAGGGCTCAAATAGAGGGTGGATGCATGGATCTCCCTGGGAAGAGGAAAGAGAATGGAGTTTTTGGGTAGAGTGGGAGTGGGTGGGGATGGAAACAAAACAGGAGGGATTAGCTGGGGGAAGGAGGAATGGAAGGAGAGAGTACCGGAAGAGACGTCGGGAATTGGTCATTTCGGGGTCGCTGTGGAAATCAAGTGCAGTGGAAGCTCCTTGGAATTTATGACAGTGACCCTATGGATGACTCCTAGTGATGGGGGATATGGAGCCTGAATTGGCCATCTTCTGTAACCAAGCAAGGCTTCCAGTGGTAGATAGGACACCAACGTAGTCACAAAACCTTCGACCTACAACCTGTCCTACCTGCAAGATATGCTGGGGAAATGTCTCAGAACTTGTAGGAGTGGCCAATCAATGACTGCTCTAACTTTAAACCATGCTTGATACTGCCTGGATGTCCAGGAACCGGAAGTTGGATATCCCAGAGACTCCAGGGCAGATACAAACATGACTGGAAAAAAGTCAATGAAATTATTTTTAATGATACTCTGCTATATTCATACATGCCTAGCCCAATTGTCAGTGAGGAGTGGGAACAGATGCAGAGATTCCAGGAACCCTGCATAACAGGATGAGGAAGGATTGCAGGAGTCAAAGCGGTTGAGGATACCAGGAGAACAAAGCCCACACTGCAAAATCAACTAAGCAGAGCTCCAATTGGCAATCATGGAGCCTGCATGGGTCTGACCTAGGTCCTCTGCATGTATGTAATGGTTGTTTAGCTTGGGTTTCTTTGTGGGACTCTAGGGAGGAGGGGTGTCTCTGACTTTTTTGCCTATTCTTGGGACCCCTTTCCTCCTACTGGGTTGCCTCGTCCATCCTTGATGAGGGTTTGAATATTGTTATGCCATGTTTGGTTGACATCCCTGGGAGGCCTCCTCTTTTCTGAAGGGAAAGGGAGGAGCAGGGGGTCTGGGGAAGGGTGGGGTGTGGGTGGGCAGAGGACTGGGAGGAGTGGAGGAAGGGCAAACTGAGGTTGGGATGCATTGTATGAGAAAAGAATAAATAAAAAGAAAACAGGTTTGGTCAGGCGTTGGTGGCGCACACCTTTAATCCCTGCACTTGGGAGGCAGAGGCAGGCGGATCTCTGTGAGTTCAAGACCAGCCTGGTCTACAGAGCCAGTTCTAGGACAGCCTCCAAAACAATACAGAGAAACCCTGTCTCGAAAAACCAAAAAAAAAAAAAAAAAAAAAACCAAAAAAAAAAAAAAAAACCAAAAAAAAAAAAGGTTTATAACTCACTTTGCAAAAGGAGTAACTAACTTACAACTAACATCTTAAGACTATAAGAGCCGGGCGTTGGTGGTGCACTCCTTTAATCCCAGCACTTGGGAGGCAGAGGCAGGCGGATCTCCGTGAGTTCGAGGCCAGCCTGGTCTACAAAGCTAGTTCCAGGACAGCCTCCAAAACAATACAGAGAAACCCTGTCTCAAACCCCCCCCCAAAAAAAGACTATAAGAAAATGAATTGTGAGCCTGAACACACATATGCACAACTGGAACTTTCCAGTGGACCACACGTCCTCACTGCTAGTACTGACTGAGCTCTTAGTATGGTGCCACCCTTATTCTATACTACACAATGCTCATGATACATCAGCAAATAAACACACACACACACACACACACACACACACACACACACTATGCCTTTATGGCACAGAATCTTCACAAGCACATAAAATGACAATGTGGGCTGGGGGTGTGGCTGTAGCTCAGTTGGTAGGGTGCACAAAGCCCTGGGTACAATCCCCAGCATAGCATAAAAGGACTACGGGACAACAGGCTTGTAACCCCAGCACTTGGAAGGTAGAGGTAGGGTGTCAGAAAAGGTCAGCCTCCTTTAATACCAGCACTAGGGAGACAGAGGCAGGCGGATCTCTGTGAGTTCGAGGCCAGCCTAGTCTACAAGAGTTCCAGGACAGGCTCCAAAACAATACAAAGAAACCCTGTCTCGAAAAACACACAACAGAAGCTGGGCGTTGGTGGCGCACGCCTTTAATCCCAGCACTTGAGAGGTAGAGGCAGGCGGATCACTGTGAGTTCGAGACCAGCCTGGTCTACAGAGTGAGTTCCAGGACAGCCTCCAAAGCCACAGAGAAACCCTGTCTCACCAAAAACACACACACACACACACACACACACACACACAACAGAATGACATAAAAAACACTAAATAAGGGCACTTGCAGAAAGTTTAAGTTTGCAATTTTAAACAGAGCACTTAGGCAAGTAAACCTATTAGGTCAGTTGCAGTTGATGAGATATTTGGGAGGCAATGAAGGACACAGCCCTGCTTCCTTTCATATGTAAGAGCTGTCAAAGGGAAATGAAAGAAGCTTGTAAGGCACATGCCCATCATGGCACTCAGTAAATGCTGGGCATGCACTCAGTTAGTGCTATTTTAATTCATTTTACTCCTTCTACACTGGATCCTGTTGCTTTAAGTGAGGTAGGGACAGTAGCTATTATTTTTATTATTATTATTAGTAGTAGTAGTAGTAGTAGTAGTAGTAGTAGTAGTAGTAGTACAGAGCCAGATATAGGGTTGGTAGGCCCCATGTTTTAGTCTAAACTATTCAGCCTTGTTGAAGTGAGAAGCAATTGCAGTGAGTAAAAGGAATGAGGATGTTGTTACAATAAAATAGGGAGAGGCAAGATTTCATTACCAAGCTTCAGTTGGCTGGCCTATTTTCTAGAAGATTCTTTGGAATCCAAAAAATAAAAAAAAATTAAAACATCTATGGAATCCTGTATCTTGTGAATTTAAGACATAATGAAGTCATGGGGTGATAATTTGGCTATTTTCTCATTATATAAAAAAAAAACAAACCAAATAAAAATCCCAAGAAGAACAAAAGCCAAATCTAAACAGCAAGACCATTTAAAAGTTGCAGCATGTTATTGTTGTGTTTCTGCCTTTTGCTTAATGTTCAAATTGAGTGCCTGATAAAAAGATGTCTTTATTGTTCTGATGTCTTGCTGTAAGGAACAGAAATTAAATGCTCTTTAAGCAAGTGCAAATGTGAAAGCTATGTGATGATTATTAACAGCTTAAAACTACTTTGAAGTGGCCATGCTAAAAAAAAAAAGAAAGACAGAAAGAAAAAAGAAAATCACAAACAGAGACATGACCATTTGCTTTTGACAAAAAGATGAATAAATCAAACGAAAACAAAGCACACTGCACTTCAGCTGCTAGGGCAAGAACACCCCACCCATCACATCTACTGTTGGCCACTTAAAGTCATCGATCATGATTAAGGAAGGCCTATCCAAAGACCGTTTAGCAAGATCTTAGGCCATGACCACACCTATGATGGTATACAAAAGCTGTTCTCTCAATAGCTTCATCTAAAATAACTGCAGCTTGATTTGATTCTCTTCTCTCCAAGCTTATCTCTTTACATTCGATTTCTCCTAGTCTTCCCTTGCTTAAAGAGTTTGCCAATAGGCAGTGAATCAGCAAAAGTATAAAACACTAATGTCCGTTTTTTTTTTTTTTGTTTTTTACACTTCAGGCACTGGCATATGCTTCATAAAGATTAGCATTGTGTGCTGGGCATTGGTGGCGCACGCCTTTAATCCCATCACTTGGGAGGCAGAGGCAGGCGGATCTCTGTGAGTTCGAGGCCAGCCTGGTCTACAAAGTGAGTTCCAGGACAGCCTCCACAGCTACAGAGAAACCCTGTCTCGAAAAACAAAACAAAACAAAACAAAAAAAAAGATTAGCATTGTGTTAGGAATGACAATGAGCAGAACCCGTCAAACATGTTGGGTTCAAGTGAGAGGCCAACCTTAAAATGGTTCCTAAAGTAAGTTGTTTGAAGAAGACTTTGAATTTGTCTTTAATCCAAGGAGAGAGAAAAAACAAAGGCCTGAAGCAGACTGAGCGTCTTTGGGAAAGAAATCTTGAACCCATGTGATCTGGATGAAGAACAACAATCAAACCCCTTTAAATAAAAATTTATTACTTATAATAAACAAAAATAAAAAAAGAAAAGAAAAGGCTTATCAATTCTTCCATGGTAAAACTCACCAGGAGTCAGTCCAACATGGTAAGATCAACAACACCCAAGAACATATTCGAAAACATGAAGTAATATGTGCAGGGGGAAATGGCTAATAACATTCCCCCGCATGTGCAGCTGTGGTATAGTGGTGTTTCTAAATTGCCAACTAGGAGCTAGCTGGGGCTAAAATATTCACATTGATCCTGTTGAGGTTATCCTCTGAACACTCAGAATCAGTCATTCTCAGATATGAATTTTGACAACAAAGCCACATACTAATTTATAGTCCTCAGCTATGTGATTCTAAGCTACAGGAATCTAAGAAACAAAACAACCTTAATAATAGAGCTGGCCAGCAACAAAGCTCTGTAGGAAAAGTCACTTGCTGCCAGTGACATGTGGTAGAGAGAATAGACTGACTTCCACTTGCACCTAAATACACTAAACACACACATACACACACACCATAAAATATAAAAATAAAAGGAAAGGCTAGGTGGTGATGGCACACATTTTTAACCCCAGCACTCGGGAGGCAGAGGCAGGAGGATCTCTGTGAATTCGAGGCCAGCCTGGTCTACAGGGCTAGTTCCAGAACAGCCTCCAAAGTCACAAAGAAACCCTGTTTCGAAAAACCAAATAATAATAATAATAAAATAAATAAAATAAAATAAATAAAAGGAGAGAAACTTCAAAATAGAAACTGAAAATGTTCCTTTGTAGCGTTTAGGTGTCCTGGAGTGGTTATTCCCATTTACCATCCAGGGCTCTGACAGCAAGCATGCTCACAAGGACTTGCACACAAACAAGAATTGCATTCTGTCTCCACCAACAGTGTAGGGATGTGTGGCAGACACCAAGACCCACTGTCACCCATGTGCTGAGAGGAGTGGGCTGGCTGTAAATTTCTGCTAGGCTGGCCAAAAGGGGCAAAGCCAAAGCCAGATGCCAGGCACACAAGACACCTTCCCCATACAACACTTTTTTTTTTTTCTAAGACAGGGTCTTGTTTTTTCCAGGTGGGCCTTAGACTTACTATGCAGCCAAGGATGTACAGCTACTTCCCAACCTGAGTGCTGGGGGGTCACAGGCTATGCACACCTGGCACTTTTAATTCTCCTAATTTCAACCAATCAACATAATAAGCTCTCCCTAGAACAAGGCACCCACCCCACTAGTCCACGGCATGTTCTCTCTCACTAACACACCCCTGCTTCGTGCCACTGTTAGCATGTAGGATCACACCCACCTTCACTTCCGAGCTCTGCTTAAACATTGCTTTCTCAGAATTTCCCTTATGTGCATTTAGACTCCACACTAAATGTTCCCCAGCTTCTTATGCTACACAGAAGAACACAGTTCTTGGGCTGGAGACATGGCTCAGGGGTTGTGAGCACTGGCTGCTTTTCCAGAGGACCTGGGTTCAGTGCCCACAGCCACACAGTGGTCACAACCATCTGTAACTCTAGTTCCAGATCTGACACCTTCACCACCAGTGCACATATAATAAAGTTAAATACATTAAAAAACAAAGAACACAGTTCCTGGCATAGTGTGTAAAATAGTTTAGTCTTACCTGCTGGCTGGATTGTACTTTCACACTGCCAAATGCAAAAGTCTCCTGTCTTCTTTATCACGTGGCCCAGCTTAGTCCATTTCTCTATAGAAATGAGTTTATGAATATGCGTTAGTTATAGTTCTGGTGAGACCTGATTCAATTATCTTCAAAAAGTTAATTTATACTAAGCATTTATTTACAACTTTAGATACTTAATGAAAAATTTTCAATAGATTACAAATGCTATTTAGATAGAGTATTTCTGAACTGTCAAAGAGACACATATTTTATGAATATATCATCATCTAATCTAAATACAGCCATTTACTTTTCTTCATTATGTTATTTATCAGATATTTGAGCATTATACTATCTCGCACCCAATATGCAACCTTGTGAGAATGGCAAATAAAGTTAGGATGATTTTTTTTTTCCGAGACAGGGTTTCTCTGTAGCTTTGGAGGCTGTCCTGGAACTCACTTTGTAGACCAGGCTGGCCTCGAACTCACAGAGATCCGCCTGCCTCTGCCTCCCGAGTGCTGGGATAGGATGATTTTTTTATGTTGTTACTGTGTTGTGGAGACTGACTTGAACTCATGATCTCCTTCCCTTGCTTTCCAAACTCTGGGATTACCGACATGTTGCCACCCAACTGGTCCCAAAAGCTTCTAATTAGTCGTAATAACCACACAACAAGTGCTTACTGGCAAATACAGATAAAGATAAAAATCTAATGACATGGGATAAAACTAGTGCTTCATTTCTCAAACGGAAATTCTTCAATCATCTGACATTGTTCTAGGAACTCAATATAAAGAACGAAAAAGACCCAAAGTTCCCAGTTATCACAGAGACATGCTTTCATAATGCAGGGGGCACAGAGGGTAAACAGTAAATCAACAAAATAATTTCTAATAGAGAAAAATACTCAGGGAAACATTCGAGTCGAGAGACGGCGGACGGGAAGGAAGCCATTTTTGTAAGGACCATCTAGGAAAGCCTCCGAAACAAAACAAAGCAAAAAAAAAAAACAAAACAAACCAGAAACAAAAAAGAGAGGGTGAGATTAGAGCTCCCAAATGCCCCGCTTTACCGAGCAAAGTAAAAGAGGATTTCATTCAGGATGTCAGGAAATGGAAAAAGGTTTAAGTACCGAAGGAAGCCATATTTACTACAGGAGGAAGCCATATTTACCACGATGCCGTAATCTTCTCTCTCTTTTTTACCTTCTCCCCTCTTTGGTTTTTCAAGACAGGGTTTCTCTGTGTAGCCCTGGCTGTCCTAGAACTCGCTTTGTAGACCAGGCTGGCCTCGAGCTCAGAGATTCGCCTGTCTCTGCCTCCAGAGTGCGGGGATTAAAGGCGTGCGCCACCATTGCTGGGCGGAAGCCGTAATTCTTATAAGACAGGGACAGGTAGTGGTGGTCAGAGTCCAGGCGCAGAGGAGACTGGGAATTCTATAGAAAGTCATTTGCATTGTGTTGCTACACCAAAGGAAACCCCTACAGGGTTGCAAAGCAGCCGCAGGCTCTAGTTTACGTTACATGGATTGTTACGCCTCCACTATTGAGAGACAGGACTGAAAAGAGAACTCCTCGGGTAATTTGAGAAAGAAGATCTGGAATGCAGAGAGTGGGACAACAGGAAGAAGTTCTTTCCAGTTTCCTGTTGGATTGGAAAATGGGATGAGGAAACTGGAAAACGAGCAAAGTAAAACAATAAAGCTGTCCTATTTTCTAACCTAGCGAAATTTACAGAGATAAGTGGAGAGAGAAATGTACGTGTCCTGTTGTCACGATAATTTGAATATTCTAATGTAATGTATTTCGCAGAAATAAAGCCCATGAAAATTTGAAACAAGCTGGGCGTTGGTGGTGCACGCCTTTAATCCCAGCACTACGGAGGCAGAGGCAGGAGGATCTCTGTGAGTTCGAGGCCAGCCTGGTCTACAGAGCGAGTTCCAGGACAGCCTCCAAAACAATACAGAGAAACCCTGACTCTAAAAACAAAACAAACAACAACAACAAAAATTGAAACAAAATTTAAAGCACAATTCCAACCAGAATTCTTCCTTTAATATGTATCTACTTTGCTCCTCAATCTGCTTGAAAGCTGGTGGCCAATGACTCAAGGTAGTCGGCGATCGATGCAATCTGGAAGCTAGCAGCATTTTAGATGCCAAGCCTAGCTCATCACCACTTCTCAAAAACTCTCCATTTGTAGTTTTCAAGCCCTTCCCTCTTCCCTCTCATCGCAGAAAAACAGACAAAACTCAACCCTGTCATGAAGCGTGACTTACCCAATGCCTCTTCGATGCGCTCTGCTTTTTCCTACTCCGCTTCCTTTCTGAAACCCCAAGAAGAAACTGTCACTCGTACCCAGAGCAGCAGTGGAAATCTCGGCGACCTCGAGCTTGGTTACTTGGACCCCGCCGGTTCAGATGGTCGGGCTCTGTTCCGGCCACACCTAGACAGCCGCCTGCTCCGCCTGCAGTAGGCTGAATTCCCCAGGAAAAGCGCTCTAGGTGGAAGCCGGTGTGGTGGGCGTGGCCCTGGGACTAAGGGCGGACCACCCGGAGCAGGCCCCGTGTCCTGGGCCTAGGGTGGGGTCTGGGACCTTGGGGCGGAGGCCGCTCCAGAGTCACAGAGGCAAAAGCCTCTTCGGGATCCCTAGCCTTAAGGTACAGTAAATTCTCGGTACCTGTCTACGAACTCATGACATATGTGTAACCAAATTTATGGTTTTATTACCCGATGGAAAGAAAATCAAACAGAGAATGCAGTTTCTACCTCCTAAACACACAGCCAAAACTTTCTTTGCACATTCGTTCCATCTCCCCTCTGGATCCTTCTGGATGCCGGCCTCCCCGGACCCCGACTTAGGAGCCTTAATTTTTTTCAGCCTTCAACCTGACTGTTGGAAAAACCCTCAAAGCAACATAACGCACTTTGAGAGCATGGGTCAAGCAGCATTCACCACTGACTAAGGTCTAGTGAAATTTAATGGTTTGCATAAATACACCAGCACCATTAAAACAAAAACCAAATCAATATTTAAGAGCCTCTTACATTTAATTGAACCTGAAACTGTAATTTACTTATCAGGAGGAATCAGTCATTTATTCTGGTTAGCTTGCTTTTTTTTTTTAATAAGATTTACTTGTGAAGCGGGTCGTTGGTGGTGCTCACTTTTAATCCTAGCACACCGGAGGCAGAGGCAGGCGTCTGTGAGTTCAAGGCCAGCCTGGTGTACAGAGCAAATTCCAGGACAGCCTCCAAAACAATACAGAGAAACCCTGTCTCGAAAAACCAAAAAAACAAAAAACAAACAAACAAACAACAACAGCAAAAAAAAAAAAAAAAAAAAAAAACCTGTGAGACTGAAAAGGGAAAATTTCGGGCTGGTGAAACAGACTCTTACTCTTTGAAGGCTTTTCCACCAAATGCCCCTGCCCATCTGAGTAGAGATTGAATAAACCTTCCTTTTAGCTTCCTTCTCCCAGGAACAGGTTCTCTGAGGTGAATTTCTGGCTGAAGGGAGAATAAGGAATTGCTTGCCTCCTGGTTTCTAGTGTACCTCATTGTGGCTTTTTACAAAGTGCTTCGGCAAATTATCAAGTCCTCAGATCAGGTTTGCCTCAGTCTGTGGGTTTGTGTGTTCATATGATTACAAAAGTTAGTTGAGGCCTGAAGAGATGACTCAGAAATTAAGAGCACTGGCTGCAGCGGGGTGGTGGTAGTGCATGCCATTAATCCCAGCACTCGGGAGGCAGAGGCAGGTGGATCTCTGTAAGTTCAAGACCAGCCTGGTCTACAAGAACTAGTTCCAGGACAGCCTCCAAAGCCACAGAGAAACCCTGACTCGATGGCTGCTCTTCCAGAGGTCCTGAGTTCAATTCCCAGCAACTACATGGTGGCTCACAACCATCTATAATGGGATCTGGTGCCCTCCCTCTGGCCTGCAGGCATACATATATGTAGAACACACTGTATACATGATAAATAAATCTTTAAAAAAATTTAGTTGAAGCAGCCTTGTTTACAAGTGAGAGCCTATTTCAAATTTTCCCCCTTCAGTTACTGTTTAGGTTTCAACATCAAGGACAAGGCAGAAAACCTTTCTTTGACCGAATCATTCAGAGCCAGAGCCACACCCTTTTGCTATCAAGTTCTTACCCTCAGCGGTAAGACACTGGACGAGCCAGATTATTGTGTTCCCTCGCTTTGCAGTGTTTTGTTGGCCCTCTAGTTTGACTCGGGGTGAGGCTGTGGCTAGGGACCTACAGATAGCAGCTGAGGACACTCTGCCATTCCAATCCCACTCCACCGCACACATCTGTTCCAATCCCACTCCACCACACACATCTGTTCCAATCCCACTCCACCACACACATCTGTTCCAATCCCACTCCACCACACACATCTGTTCCAATCCCACTCCACCGCACACATCTGTTCCAATCCCACTCCACCGCACACATCTGTTCCAATCCCACTCCACCGCACACATCTGTTCTGGGTTTTTTGTTTTTTTTTTTGGATCCCAGTACAATGTAGCTTTCCTTTCCAAGTCCCTCTCCACACCCCAAAGTAACACTAGGGAATTAACTCACCTGCTATCACACGGATTTTGTTTAAGGGAACTTTTGTTTCTCCAAAATGAGTTAGGTAAGTAGTTAAACCACAGAAGGAAAGAAAAGGCTGTCTTTTGAGGTTCTACCCACAAGTAGAGCTTTTTCCAGGTTTGGTGGGTTACGCTTGTAAACCCAGCATTTGGGTGGCTGAGACTGTAGGGATGATTTTGAGTTGAGACAAAGCATAGTGAGTTCCAAGCTATCCTGGGTTATAGAATTTGCCTCAAGCAAATAAAAAAATGGCAACAACAAAGCCAGGTGTTGGTGGCGCAGCCTTTAATCCCAGCACTCGGGAGGCAGAGGCAGGTGGATCTCTGTGAGTTCGAGACCAGCCTGGTCTACAAGAGCTAGTTCCAGGACAGTCTCTAAAGCCACAGAGAAACCCTGTCTCGAAAAACCAAAAAAAAAAAAAAACCCAGAGTCTCCCTGATGGTAGACTGAAAGGCGTGCGCCACCAACGCCCAGCTACTAGATAACATTTTTATTTGAAGTTCACAAAGCAAAACACTAACCATAGATGTTATTTAGGCTACACAGATTTAAGTTTCTCTCCTATGCAGTATCCTTGTCCTAGCCAGGCCCTGGGGAGAAGGTTCCTGGAATTCCCTGGCCAAACTTGCAGCGCTAGAATTAAGATTAAAGTAGTGAGTTGCTAGCCTTCAGCAAATTTAAGGGCTTTAAGAAGAATTCATCAATAATCATTAACAATATTTAATACAGTTTAAAGAAAGGAGTTGAAATCAAAGTACAAAAATTCCTAAGGAAGCACCCAAATTGTAGGTGCAAGCAAAGTCAGAGGTCATGAATCAGTTACCATGGCAATGAAGTATGGAAAGGCACCTATTAAATTATCTCAGTAGACCAGGTGTTGGTGGCGCACGCCTTTAATCCCAACACTTGAGAGTCAGAGGCAGGCAGATCTCTGTGAGTTCGAGGCCAGCCTGGTTTACAGAGTTCCAGTACAGGCTCCAAAGAAACCCGAAAAAAAAATACATATATATACCTTTA